TATCTGTACTTTTCCTTTGGGGATCAGTGTATCTGGCTGCATTTGCACTATGCACACACACACACATATACACAATTCTTAAGATATGCCTTTTGAAAGTTTTTGCTGACTCACGCCTGAGCAAGGAGGCAGTGAAGGATTGTCCAATGAGAGCAGCCTATGAGAACAGATAGATATGGAGGGTTCGAGACTAGCAACCTTAGGAAAACTGTGCCCAAAGGAGGAATGATTCTGTTAAAGGCATGCAAAACAGATGAGTCAAGCACCCCAAAAGTTAAATTTCAGTGGGTTGCCATAATAGCGTAAATGGAAAGCCAAAGGGATACGCAGGTCTCAAAACAGAATGAAATGAGACTAGATCTAGAACCAGGTGAGTTAAAAGCCAATATGGGAACTCAACTGGTGAGCACAGCCAGTCTGTCCTTCAGACATAGCTTAACACCTGCTCGGCTGAGGGCATGTCTTTTAGTGCAGCATTTCTCAAACTTTACTGGTCAGAGATTCCCCTGGAGATCTCGTTAAAGGGTAGAATTCTTCTAACTTGGTAGGTTGGATGTCAGGTGGAGATTCTGCATTTCCGATGACCTCCCAGGTGATGCGGATGCTGCCCGTCTAAGGGCTACATTTTGAGTAGCAAGGAATTACAGGGCAGAATCTTGTCATAAATCAAGGATGACGACAGTGGAAATGCATTTTGTTACTCTTATCTTTGTTCCACATAACCCTAATAGCTTTTAAAACAATTCTTTCAATCAACACTCTTTAAGAATCATACATAGTAAAGAATCTGCTAAGCCTGTACTTGGACAAGTACAAAGATATCTGTTAGGCAAGAAACATTCTGTGTCTTCAAGTAGGTCATGGTCTACCAGAAAAAGTAGAAGGAGCCCTCTGCACTCCCTCATGTTTCAGGAGTAACCTGGAGTACAGTGATATAAAGATGGCCAAAGACAGTGCCCACATGAATCTTGAAAACGGCATTTGAAATTTAACTCTTTCAAGTGGCATGGCTCCAAGTCTCTGCTTAAGAGCAACTCCAAGTACAAAGCAACACAAGAAGAAAAAAATTTCAGGAGCAATAGTAGGCAGGCAGTTGAGTTAAAACCTCCAAACTCAACACCAACATCATCAAACTGAAGTTCATAGAACTGAAAACTTGAAAACTTTTACCGCCAATGTTAACAAACCAATTATGCTAAGATTGCTCTTCAACTTAAAAGAGTTTAGGAAAGCATATGGGGGTTATAGTCCCCCCTCCTTTGTCAAGAAATCACCAAATATTAATAGCCATTTTATTTCAGCATTTACTGTTACCCAGGAACAATAAGTGCTCCAAAAGTATTATTTAATTCTCACAAGAAACCCATGTAGCAGGTATTGCTGTTAACCCCATTTTATAGAAAAGGGACAAAGTTTCAGATAGATTAAGTAACCCACCATAAGTCATACAGCTAGTAAGAAATAAGCCAGGATTCCAAACAAAGGCTGGTTGGGATTTTTCATAATAAAAATATGTTTTTAATTAAAAGACTATTTAATTCTAAAGTCAAATCAAAATTTAAAACGATCATAACCGTATCTACTCAAGCTACTTCATGGTGTGTTATGAAGCTCCACTGAAATAAGAGATTTGAAAGTGCTTGAAAAATATCTGCAGCTAAAACAAGAAATAAACACAGAAAGCCAGAACGAGAGAGAGAAGCTAGCAAACAAAGGTGCTCTGTAACTATAGAGGATGATTTAGTTGTTCATATGATTTATCATTACAAGGTTCCAAGACTACAGAGCCAAGTCAAGGCCGTAAACATAAATCAGTGCATCTTCCAGCATCGGGAGATAAAAGACCTCTTTGAACTCTAAACTTCAACTTCTCTTGGCCTTGATATCACCTAGTGCTGATTCATATAAATAAAGCCTAAATGTGATGAAGACTGTGTCCCTGTTCCTTAAGAAAATACCAGTGGCGTTCTCTCCTCATCTCTCTCTCTCTCTCTCTCTGTCTCTCTCTCTCTGACACACACACACACACACACACACACACACACACACACACACACACAGAGTTAGATTTAAGCCTAAACTTCCTCTTCTTATACAGGCAAAAAACAGATCCAGAGAATAGTAATAGGCCCAAAACCTAACTAGACAATACAAGAATTAACATTTTAACCATCTGTTTGGTTCCATACTGACTCTTCTTTTAAAAAGGAACTGGAAGTAGAATGGGCTATACCTTCATTCATGGAAAAACATCGTTTTTATTCATTTATCTTTTAATGCATGTTCATCAGAGCTAGACACTGTGTAAGTGCAGAAAAACAAAGGTGAATGAGATATCATCTTTCCCCTCATAAAGCTAGAGTTCAAGAATTTATCTGTGCTGGGCACAATCTTAGCTTTTTTGCAAATGCAAAGATAAGTCAGATCAATTCCTATCCTCAAGGAGATATTACCTAATGAGGAAGGTAAACATATAAACAATTAAACTTACATTTACATAGAGATGTGGGATCCTGAAGAATGGATAAAGGTGACTATAATGAACAACAATGCATTGTATATTTTAAAACAGCTAGAAAGAGGACTTGAAATGTTCCCAAGACATAGAAATGATACTCAAAGTGATGGACACCACAAATACCCTGACTTGATCATGACACCAGTCTATGCATGCAACAAAATATCACATGTACCCCATAAATATTGACAAATGTTATGTATAGATAAAAATAGACAAAATTTTGATAGGAAAGGACAAGATCAAAAGGAGAAATTGTAGAGTTCTAACAAGTTGAGAATTTATATTGTAAGCAACGGAAAATCACTGAAAGTTATTGAACACAGGAATGGAATCATGAACATAAGACTTAGGAATGGTGGGTTGGAAAATGGTGAGAAGAGAGAGGGAAACCAGCTAGGGAGGCTGTAAATACAGTGTTTAGATGTGCAGTCCTGGCATATAGGACCTCATTGAAAGTAGTGGAGGAGCATGACCAAGACCTGGAAACATTTGGTTGGGAGGCAAGTGTGAGAAGGACTCAAAGAAACCCAGGATTTGGGCTTGTTGTTGGGGGAAAACAGCAATTTCACCAACATAATAGGTTTCAGGAAAAAGACAGTGGGCTTGGTAGAAAATGTGTAAACAATCACATGGCTGTAATGAGATTCCTGAAAACAGAGAGCCAATAATTAATAGAAATGTTATGAACCTAGCCCAGAGTTGAGTGTCCTACCAGCAAAATATATTTCCTTGGATAGGTGATTTTTCAAGTTATATTCTGGGACGTTTCAGGAGCTGGAGCCTTAAGCATTTTACTATAACTGGGTTGCTCTTCAGGTGTTGTCGATAATTTTTACTATTCATTTTATTCAATGTTTAAGAGAGCACCCCATGCAACCATGCAACTGTCTCTTCAAAGCAGAATAAAGCTTCACATTCATTTTGGGGAGCCTCCTAGGACTCTTTGGGCCATAATATCTGATTTGTGGGAATCCCTGCTCTAGATTGGACTGCTTTTCTGGAAACAACAGCAAATTCAGAGGCGAATTCCCCTAATCCTCTCACCCCTGCTCCATCTACCTAAAGACTAACAAAATAAATCCCAAGCCTTTCTAGTAAGGGTCTCAGACCTTGATTAATGAGGCTTCCATAACTTGAATTTTATTGATCCAGAATCCCTCCATCATGATTTGAGCTCATTCCCCCTTTACAAGGTTTCAATAAGATGTCTGATGCCAATCCATCTCTTAATGAGGAATCAACCCTAAAGTCTCTACCCCTCAAGTCATGCTATGCTCCAGGGAGGGTCTGATCTGCTCTCTTTATCCATGTCTTCATCAGTGGCCAACATTTCAGAGCACTTCCTGTGTGTCAGAGTCTATGCCAGAGATTGGGTAGATTCAAGGGGAATCAGACACAGTTCCTATTCCAGCACTTTACATTCTAATATGGAAACCATGCAGTAAAATAACTATGGGAAAAGAGAGAAAGTGCTCAGAGGTGTAACAGAGAAGTATATATAAAGTGCTAAAGAATTTAAAAAGGAAAAGGTTACTTTCATATGGGGGTAAAGGAAGTTCATGAGAGATTTTGTGGACAAAATGGCACTTCGGCTAGGCATGGACAGATAAGAAGGTGAATGTGTGGATTTGGAGAGGAGCAAAAATGGCCAACTCCTTGGGCCAAAAGACAGAGAAGACCAGACTAGAGTGTCTGAGGGAGTATATGAGGGAAAAATAGAGCCAGCGAAAGGTAGCGTATTCATGAGATCTGCATATTCACAGGAGAGACACAGAAAGCGAGAGAGAGAGAGAAGAAACAGTTTCTAGTCATACTCAGCATAGATTCTGCCCTAGCCCACAAGCATTTTTCTGTCTATCAACAGTCAACCGGACCTGGATTCAGGAGGAAGATACTTATAGGTTTTAATCTTCGACCTAGAAGAGGAAGTTGCTACCAAATAAAGGGTGGAGGGCCAGTTACCATAAGGGAGCAAGAGGGGAAAAGGTTTGCTCATATATTAAGAGCAACACCATGGCAGAGTCCTTATGGTTTTGTTTATGTAGCTACATTAAGAGAGTGTTTAGATGAAACATTATCTTCTAGAATGAAGTCTTTCTTAGATCTTATACTAGGTAGCCACACATAGGGGGAATGTCAGTACAGTCAATCAGACAGGAAAACAAGCAACCCTCCTTAAAAAGCAAATATCAAAAAATAGTCATTTCCCCCCACTCTTGCTAAACTTAGTGTGCCTGTAAGTTTCACCCAATAGCATTCTCAAAAAGAGAAAAAACACAGAACAATGAAATTAGGGAAGAGTCTGGCAACCGGATTAAAGACTCACAGGGGATAAAAAGTCCCCAAAATAAATGTGTTGGGAAACCCATTTTGCTAATCATGCCAAGAGCTGAGCCCCACTTGAAGTATTGGAGATGGGTGAACTCTCCTTATGTCATTTTCAAGAGAATACACCTAACAAATACAAGCTTCCCTGGGAGAATCACAACTGTGCAATGGCATTTTTTGTTTGGTTGGTTAAGATGCCTTTTTTGTATGTTCTTTATTTGCAGAAGGAGCTTCTTTTTGGCAAGATACTGGATCCTTTCTTCACCTCTTGCAACTCTGTAAGCACAAAAGGGAAAGAAAACATTTATTTGGAGTCAGAATTAAGAATAAACAGCTAATATCTTGAACTTGGGTAAATTTGGTGAATATCTAAAATGCAGCATAACTTAATAAGAAATACGGATCAAGAGGTCTCACAAAAATAAGTCACCTTCAGTAAAATAGACTTGGCTGCTAAAAAAACAGAGTTATATATCCACTCAGCAACCAGACCATTTCTGACGAAATGGTTCTACCTGGGAAATATTGGTGATCCCTGTTGAAATCAACACAGCTAAATAGGAGTGGTCCAAGTTACCCTTCCCTAGAGGCTGCAAGGCAAGCGTGAGCCCGTAGGACTTTTCTCTGGCCTCTGTCCCACTAATTCAACTTCTCTAATGAAGAAGGGTAGACAAGAAAACAGATAATTTGTTTGGAGGAAAGCATTGAATAAGGCTATGCAAGACCATACAAGTTTACATGCATTGACATCTACCCTTCTGCAAGGAAATGGAGATGGAAAATAGGCCCCTTTTATCATATGAACTGGTTGAAGTGAAAAAAAAAAAAAAAAAAGAAACCAAATAAAGCTGACCAGCAAAGGACAACAACATGTATTTTCATTTGAAAGTACTAGAAAAGAAAGGTGTAATCACCAAGAACAAATATAAGTTCCATAGAGATTCAGAAGACATGTTTAAAATGTTAGCACATACATACATACCTTATACGCGCGCGCACACACACACACACACACATACACACACATACACTCATGACAACTTGCCATTTTGAATGCCTGGGATGACATGTCCACCCTGACTTTTTCCCTAGTAAATGGGCCTCTGTAACCAGAAAAACCATGTAATTAGGTGGAGAAGAGGGAGTCTCAGAAAAAAAAGAAAAAGCCTGCCTTGCTTCCTTAAACCTTTTATTCATTGACAATTGTTATTCCCTCTTACTTTCTGCACCTAGTGTGACTCCAGCAAACCTTGCATTGGCAGTGGCTTGTGGCCACCTTTTCTGCTGTGTGAAGCCAATCTACAGCTGCATGTACTCCTTGCTTTTCATTTCGAACAACAAAAGGAACCATTGTATTTCAAGTCATTTGGAATGACAACTCTTCAGTTCTGAAGAAACTATAAAACTCACTGACATAAAGAAATTTGCTGGCTCTTCCTGAACTGGGAAGTATAGATCCACAAATTACTTTATCAACAAAGCACAGCACCATCCTGGCACCCTTTTTCAACTACACTCTGGATACCAGTCCTGTGTTTGTGGTACTACAAGAAGGGAAGATGGAGTCTTCAAGAAGGTCTACGCTTCTGTTGAGACCTTGCTGAGACTTTATCTTTACTTCATATACCGTTTCTCAACCTTCTGATTGAAAGTACTACATCTTCCTTGGTTTATTTATTTTATAAATATTTTTGATCTTGCAAAGCTCAAAGAACAAAAGTCAACCTAACAGGTCCAATGGAGACTAAAATGGTCAAATATTTTAATACAAAAACTGCAACTTAATCCTTTAATAGCCAGGAAGGAGTCAGAAGATGGCAATCATACTTTTGAATGGAGTTCCCTCCATGGAACACAAACATGCATAATTTCACTAACAAGAAGACAGAAGAAATCTCATAGACTTTTCTGATACAGAAGAATGCCACAGATGTAAAGTATCCTCACTCAGTATTATATCTGGCCAAGTGTCTTGTAATATATTTATGTACCAGAAGGAGAAATATAGATTGGATGATTATGTAGTTGCCCAATAAGTCTTCTTTAAAGTACCAAGGTCAATTAGAAGGAGATCTCCATTGATGTAAAAGATTGTTTAGCTTCAACTCCTAATGGCTCTCTCAGGCCTTACAAACATAGTATTAACATGGAATACTACATGGAAAGACAGGGACAGAATCCTTATGTCTTATCTTTCTTTTTTTTTTTTTTTTGAGACGGAGTCTCGCTCTGTCGCCCAGGCTGGAGTGCAGTGGCCGGGTCTCAGCTCACTGCAAGCTCCGCCTCCCGGGTTCACGCCATTCTCCTGCCTCAGCCTCCTGAGTAGCTGGGACTACAGGCGCCCGCCACCTCGCCCGGCTAGTTTTTTGTATTTTTAGTAGAGACGGGGTTTCACCATGTTAGCCAGGATGGTCTCGATCTCCTGACCTTGTGATCCGCCCGTCTCGGCCTCCCAAAGTGCTGGGATTACAGGCTTGAGCCACCGCGCCCGGCTATGTCTTATCTTTCAAGGTTACTATGGTAGGTATACATTTTCTGTGCTTTGTTCACCTAGCCTGTTCCCCTGGGAATTTCTGAGTACTTTCCCACTGTCTTCTTCAAGGTCCTACCTACTGGAGTCCACGTTGTTTTTACAATTAGCATATCGACTCTCCCTTTCAACCTTCAGTTAAAATCCCTCTTGGCTAGGCCGGGCACGGTGGCTCACACCTATAATCCCAGCACTTTGGGAGGCCGAGGTGGGTGGATCACTTGAGGTCACGAGTTTGAGACCAGCCTGGCCAAGTATGGTGAAACCCCATCTCTACTAAAAGTACAAAAGTTAGCCTGGTGTGGTTGTGTGTGCCTATGGTTCCAGCTACTCAGGAGGCTGAGGCAGGAGAATTGCTTGAACTCGGGAGACGGAGGCTGCAGTGAGCTGAGATTGCACCACTACGTGTGTGTGTGTGTGTATACATATAAATATACACATTTCCTCCTGGTCTTTATGAGAGATTCTCAGTAACATTAATTTGAATCACTTTTGTAAGTTAAAAAGGTAAAGGCCACACATTAGCAATTTTACGGTTCTACAAAAAACCACATCCAAATGTCTTCTGCTAGGAATTCACTAGAAATCATCACAATCTGAGGGAAATAATTAGTTTCTAGAAGTTTATGAAGGCAATAAAGAAAAGCATTTGAAGTAGATATTACTAATAATGTTAGCTATGAAAAAAAAACATTAATTGGACAAAGTTCAATGAGCTTCAAGCACATTTTTCTCCTTCACTTCACAGTTCTACCCCTTAAGATGAAGATATTCTTTCTGTTTCACACTGTTGAGGTCACTACTTTCATCAAACAACAATGTACTGTGCTGTACACTAATGTGGATGATTTTCTCTGTCCTTCCTTCTTTAAGGCTTCCTATCAACAGGGTAAAACAAAGAAATAGTCTCTTTCTTAGAACTGAAAACATATAAAAGTAAAATTAATGATTGCATTTTAAATTGTTAATAAAAATGTTACATGGAACACATCAAATAATATAAGTGACACTATGCATAAAATATTGCATATTTGCAAGCGAAAGTAACTTCACAATTTGGAAAGACTATTTTATTTATCTAGTTCCATTTTCTTAAAAATGCTCTTTTTCTCAAAGTATTTCTGTAATTTAGAAATATATGTATCTTAGGTCTAGATTCAAGGTATTATAAATATTCTCTCACAAATCTAAATTATAATCCCTAACAATCCACAAAGACTTCCAAAACACTTGATTATAGTTTATAAAATTATAGAATGTGTCTTGCCATTAAAAATATCAAGTACAATTTGCCCTTAATTTCTTCAAAAAAGAAAGAATTGTGACCAGATGGAATAGAATATAAATATCCAAAATGCTAACCTATTTATAATATATGACCAGTAAGAAAGATGGGAAAGGGGAACTGAGAACATGTTGCCAAAAAGAAAAGTGACTAAAGGGAGATTTTGATAATTTTTACTAAGTTTCTGAATTGGATGATTTTCATTAGGTTTCTAAACATTGAAAAGAAATTATGAAAGCACAATTTAATGAATCTGTAGAAAACCTAAGAGTGAAAAGATGAGAGGGAGGTAAGTGAATATCCACTGTCTTCTTAAAGTACTCTATTTTCATAGTTTCATGCTTTAAAACAGTAAAATATTTTACATAAACATTAGAAGCAAGAGACTTAAAAATCCTGAACACAGAAACCAATGAGAATTCCTCTAAGCTTGAATTCTGTTTCTACTGTTTTTTCTCATCTTCATATCTAAGACTCTATGACATGGCCAGGCGCAGTGGCTCACACCTGTAATCGCAGCACTTTGGGAGGCCAAGGCGGGTGGATCAGGAGGTCAAGAGATTGAGACCATCCTGGCCAACACGGCGAAACCCCGTCTCTACTAAAAATACAAAAATTAGCCGAGTGTGGTGGCAGGCACCTGTAGTCCCAGCTACTCGGGAGGCTCAGGCAGGAGAATCACTTGAACCCAGAAGGCGGAGGTTGCAGTGAGCCGAGATTGCACCACTGCGCTCCAGCTTGGCAACAAAGTGAGACTCCATCTCAAAAAAAAAAAAAAAAAAAAGAAAAAAAAAAGAACCTATGACCCTATGACGTAAGGAGACCAGTTCATTGAAAAAATGAAGGTGAAAACAGTTGAGATTATTACATCTTTAGCCTCCAATCACATATTTGTTTTAGGCAGGTATTTTTCATCTTGCCTAGTTCTGTGAAATGCTCCATAAAAGTCCCCAGTGCTCACCGTGTCTATCATAAATGTCCCTAATTCCCACCATGCTCTCAGACATAATGGAAGAACTCCTTTTTTGAATTTGTGACTCATACAGTTGTAACTTCACTTGCAGCATCAGTTTCAGTTTAAGTTCCCTTTATTGTCTCCTCTGAGGATATGGAAACTTAGAAGCTATACAGTGATTTCAGGCAAAAGAAATATGTATTGAATGGAATGATCAGTATTAGCTATGGGTAGAAATGGAAATTACCATATAAATTATTTATCTGCATGGTTGAATTTGTTTGCACTTAACAAGTCAACTATGGGCAAGACACACTGCAGAATGATTTTGAGAATTAAAAACAGGCATTTATCTATTTGTCTGTTTTATTCTTGCCTCATTTCACAATGTAAGCACAAAGAAATGCTTATAGTAAAATTGAAAAATATAAGTTGAAAGTAAAACAATAGGACAAAGTAAAATGTAAATTTGAATGAGAAGTACAGGCCAGGAAGAAAATAAGCAC